GTCCGGCCTCCTTTTGAGCAGTAGTCGATGGCTGATTTAGTTCATCAGAGACAGGACCACATTGGCCAGCACTTTGTTCGATCATAAGTCACAATAAAATAGGGAGAGTAGATGTCATACTTGTTCACCAGAATGTGTAGTCTTCTCTCTGCTTGGGATATTCTCGTCACACCAGCTTTAATGCTGTCCTTATTCGTGACATCCATCTCTTGTCTATGCATTATGCTTGATCAGCCCGCACGAAACGAGAATAAAGGATAGATCTCACGCGATCATAAGTCCCATGTCGTCACTCTTAGTTGCATTCCACTCCGCAACTACTCCATCAAGAACATTCTTCCTTCGGCCGGTGATATACACCTTGGCCCCATTAGCAGCGAGGCCACGTGCAATATTAAGGCCGATGCCTGTGCCACCACCGGTCACTAGTGCGATCAGGCCAGTGAGATCGTAGAGCTTCTTCAACGTATAACTATCAGGAGAGGACATGGTGATACAAGCAATGAAAGGAGGCTGCAAGATATTAACAAGATACTCAGTTTGAGTGAGAGGATTCTAGTACCGCAGTAAGTACCTGCGAGAAAACAACGGGGGCTGGTAAGTTTGATCGAGTACGGAACAGATGTAAGAGTCTCACTTCAGTCTGATCAAGAAGGCTGAGTGAATCGAGATGTAAGGGGTACGTAGACTATATACTGAGGTTGCATCCGGTGATGTAAAATAGACGTGTGTTATTGTACGTGTGCGGCTGTAAGTGGTCACAGATGCATTAATGATTTGTCGTAGCGAGACCTGCACGTTACGTCGGATCATGCAAGGCCAGCACATGGTGCACAGATAATTAACCGCTTGAGTGACCATGAGGCCCAAGTTGAATAGACAATTAGTCGAAGCGAGACCGGAATGGAATAAACAAGATTAGTTACAAGGAAGTCAAGCCACGATGCCACTAGGTTCATTGGAGTTGAATTTGTCTTGACGCGGCCCCGATCCCGGGACCCCTGATTTCCAGACTATAGCGAGAGCTATCCGCTGACTAATCGTCAACTCGGGTGAGTCCACCTAACCATATAGAACGAAGACAGTCGTTCTGTCTTCATTCCGATATACACAGACTGCGGTCCAATCCCTGAGTAGGCTAGTGAAATCTCCTTTAACAATTTCAGATTCATATCGACGCAGACTGCGCAGTCACGTACGACTGACCACCCAGGATACCAACCCCAAACAAGGTTCCGGGTCTCGATACCATCGAGTTGAGCAAGCTCGACTTCAGCAACCACTGCGACAACCAACATTCTCGCGTCTTCGTCATGAGGAAAAGCAATCCCTTTTCCATCGTTCACCGTAGTAGTAGATCACCCATTTCTTACCGACGAAATCCACACTAGGTGATATGCATTGGGACCATGTTGGAGAGACAGAATGGACAGGCCGGGTTGGCCGAACATAGTTTCGGCAGCGATGGACACGGGGGTTTCTTGAAAGAACAGCGAAATGAACGGGCCTGCGGTTGGTCCACGGCAGTTTCCAGTTTCAGTATGTAGGCAATCCTGATAAGACAAAAGGCGTGTGTTGGCCACGAGTGCGCGGAAAATCCCCATCAGGAAGATGGGTGGCGGGAGTCCGCAAATAGTTATTTAGTTCGCTAAACTTGACTCACGTGTAGATCCTGTAAGGAAAGTGAAAATCCCATCCACTGGTGGGAAAGAATGGGCCTGCAAAAAATGTGGCAGAGAAGGGGGGCAAAAGTATATTGCTCATCATATCCACGCTCCATCATGCAGTGGCAAATCTCCACTAAGGCAATACATGTGAACAAGGTCCTTTTCAACACCATCCACTTCCAAATTGCGAAGTTCTCTGAAACATTTCGCGAGGGAAAGAATGGAGGAGTGATCTGCCCAGCGACCCGCCATCGCCAGAACCTTGATGCTGGATGGTATTGTGACTTCAAAAAGGCTCAGGGCGGCTCTGAGTCCAGGAAATGGCGCTGACTTCCACCAGCGTCTATTAGCGGGTTGACAGCGAAGGTCAACCAGATGTAGTTCGTGAAGGTTGGGTACAGAAAGGCGGGACAAGAGTAATGTAAGTTCGGGAGGTATGTCGATATCCGATTTGTCGACGGCAAGAACAAGCCGCTCGAGCTGCAGAAGGTGAATCTGTCCTGCAGGAACACCGTCGTGAGATAGGTACAGAACTTCTCCATCCAGCACTGTTCTCCTAAAGCATATGCGAAGCTCGCGCAGTGCGCATGAAATTCGAATCATTCCTAGAACTTCATCTACGGCGATTGATCCAGTTGTGAATCCGTGATGAGTATAGTCGAGATGTGTGAGGCGTCCATAGAGCCCTGGCAGCCAGGTCAGGCGAATACCATCAAGCGTGACGTGATCTAACCGAGGCGCAACACCTGCAAAAAGACCAAACTCCTTTGAGTCATCATTCTCTGGAAAACAGAGAGTAAGCTTCTCCAGTCGCAGCGCGTGCACAAATGGAGCAAAGGTATGTGCGCCCATGCTATCATTGCCCCGTTGCTCTGGATGACATATAGGGCCGAGAGTAGTATTCCATAGGAACGGCGAGTAACTTGAGAACCGCAGCTCAAAGGAGCGGGCTCTGGATATGTGTGGGACAATAAGATGCAGTTGCAGGGCTAACGCGTCTATATCGGGAAAACGGTGCTGCGGAGGTGTGATTGTAATGTCGAGGGAACACCCACGGGCGCGGGCTATGCGTTCCTTCCACAGACGTAATCCATGAGAATCAAACGACAGGCGCCGCCAGAGGGTATGCGTGTGTATCGCAAGCATCCTCCATGGGTGGCAGACATGCGAAATCGTGATAAGAAATAAGGCATCATCAAACGAGCCCAGCTCAAACACACGAATGAGAAGCTCTGGAGGGAGGGTGTGAATGGGATGATGTTGGAGGTTGGAGATCGGACTACGGTATAGAGATAATGTTAGGGAAGGGCGAGCGAAGTCTGGGAATTTTACAGTTGAAGGTGATGGCGAGGGAGGAAAATTGGTGCGATCGATGACGGACGAACTGCAGTATATTAACTCTGGAGAGTGCCTGGGACATAGTCAGGGAGATATCAATAATGGTGAAGGATAAACTTACTGAGGAGGATGAACCTTTTCCTGAATCGCGTTCTTGAATGACTTCGTGAGGATTAATTCACGCCGACGAGATCGTCTGAGTATCGATGGCATGCTTCATGGTCGAGGTGAAGCACCTTAAGGATGCCACTCATTTATGGATTCAAATTATGTATGTAACTCCTGCGACACAGGGGCTCGCCTGACATAGCTTCGGCTGCAATCGGTTCCGAGCATGAGAGCAAAGAGTGGTCCGCCGGGACAATAGAGAAGCCTGACGTGACAGTAGGATTGCTGTGTCCCATCCTGGCAGTGCAAAATGTAGAAACCTTACAGCGAAAGAACAAAAAACGAGTTCCGACAATGGGTCTTTGTGAATGAAATGGGTCTGACTTATAGTAGGGTCACTCACTCGTAAGGGGACCGTCAAGATGGGAGTCATAACTATGATGCTAAGTTTCTTTCGTTACTGCCATTGCCCCCACATTGGTAACTTCTGACTATACCCCGCTGTCAGCCCCTGCCTTGTCCATCGCAGGCCAGGACACCAACTTGAAGCTTGAAGTTTAAGGCCTATTCATCGCTGACGGTCAAAGTTGAGTTCTGCAAGCTATTGTGTTTGTACCGGCTTCTGTGATGATGATTAACAGACCATTTGATAGGGTGTACTGTGTCATTGAACAGTTTCTTCTGATCGGTAATGATAGTTGAGTTGAATTTCGTGGCCTGTAGCACGTTGAGACCCTAGAGGCCCTAAACCCACTCACCGAGGAGTCGAGGATCCTGTCTCGGCCGTTTCCGAGTCGAAAAGGGACTTAGGCGTCTAGATCATAACGAGTTTCCCACGTTTGAACCATGCGCATCTTCATCCGCCCGCCATGCCATTCGTCCCGCTGCGACCCCGGCTTCGATACGATCATTACCTTGTATTTCAAGTTAGCCCGTGGCTATATCCCTCGCCGACTATAACACGACAACCACGGGCCCAGAGCAGGGAACAGTTTACTGTAATTGCGCCGGACGAACTCAAGTATTATCAACGAAAACTTATCAATAAACCAAAAGTTCCTCTCGATCGAAAGTCATTCATAATTCTTCTAGGACTTTTGCTTCGATCTCGATATATCTACTTTCCTGTCGATTCTCACTGCAAGCACAAAGTATTTGAGGTTCGTTTTATATTGATCAGCCAAAACTAAAATTCCTATCAATTGTGATCGTTACTCCAGAATCATCGATGACACCTTAACCAGTAAACTTACCTATTGAAGCTGTGGCTCGTTGTTTTCTCTTTCACCAAAGTCCTCGGATGTCCTAGCTGCACTCTGCCGGGTGTGCATTCAAGTTGGCCCGGCAAGGTGATACCCCCGGAGTCAGTGCACGAATGGCCGAGGGGTCACCGGTCACTGGCTGCCCCGAGCTACTTGAACATCCCCGGTGACCACTCAAGCGCTCACGTACTATAACATTCTCCTTGACATCTTAATAAAGCGTCATTCTCCAGCTTTTATAATCACACTCTCAATTCCTAAAACACAATAACAACAGAACACCGTGGATGATGAGGGTTTTTAGATGACACGTCATCAAAACTTATACCATCTGCGATAATTTTTGAGCTGTGGATGCCTTGAAAAGCTCTACTACTAGTACACCAAGGCTTTGAATTGGCCTTCCACATCCTTCGCTTTGTAGTTGCCACAAGTCCCCGATCTTACTACTGCGAGTAGCGACTACGACGAGACGGATCATCCGGATAAATCATATCTGTAGATTTAAGAGTAGGAAGTCGAGCGTTAACGCTCTCAGACCTAGTGTGTTCACTGAGCAGTTCAGATCATCATGCGCACGTCTAGATCAACTCTTCAAAAGATGACACGACATCGATTGAGACTCGCCCCTCATCAATAGATTTGATACCTGCAAATTGATGCAAGGGAGCAATCAAAATAAGAATCCGAAAGATACAGGGTTCATTTTCATGGGTTACGTGTATAACTCGTACAAAATCGCAGACATCCCAAATAATCTTTTTTAATTCTCACCAAAGAAACGGAACAAGTCGCGCAGGCACTCTCTGCATATACGCACGGTATTCCTCAGCAACAGCAGGGTCTTGCATAATAAGATCCTCCTAAAAACAAAAGGCAGCCAATTGCATACAGCAACACAATGAATCGGACGAGATACCCACCTCGACAAGCACCTTGACAGCAGACGCACCAGTAGTGATACCCAATCCTACAAGCGGCGCATAAGACCAGGTCATCAGCGTAAAAAATAATCCCTGGATGAGCGCGCTCCTGTCATAAGGGAGACGTCAGAGCCCAATTCCATCTTACCCATGTAGATGACGCAAGAGACTCACGTGTACAGCGGATGACGCACTACTGCGTATGGACCCGTTTGTACGATTCTGGACTTCTCGCGTCTCTGGCGAGGGGCAATGAGCTGATGTCTTGTTCACGTGTGAAAGAAGACAGTACGCACCCCAATCAGGTGCCACTGACTGCCAAGGTGCGTGAGTACGCGTGCGCCGAACCTGATGACCATAAAGGTCGCTGCACATGCTGCGACTCTCAGCCCTACTTTATTTTCGTGTTTGAAATAGGTATCAGGAAGGCTCATGCGCTGCATCCATGCAGGCTGCGCGAAGCGGTTGAAGGTAACGCATAGGATGTATGTCACGGGTGGGATGAAGATGGAGAGAGCGTGTATTGGGGTTATAATCTTGCCAATGAAAGAAGTTGGGGTGACACAGACGGGACCTGCTTCCGCGTTAGCGACTGTGGCGATTGTACGCGTGCGAGATAAGGAATATTGGAATTGTCGGAAGGTGGTAAATACGACGAGTCCTTCCACGGTTTGGGTGGATGATGGAAGAATACTAGTGAGGCCGGCGATGTAATACATGCTGGACTTGGATACGGTGATATCTTTATAACAATTTTTGGTGGCAAGAATCTGGTGATTTGGAGGTATGGTTGCTCAGCTGCGACAGAGCGGCTCTCACATGACAGCTAACGTTAAATGGTGTAAATATTGACAGTCTGTGGAGTTATGAGAAGCTGTGCTACAATGTAGCTGATCATCGTAGAAGTTGATTTGAAGGCAGTAGTCCTCGTGCCAGAAGATGATCATAAGGTGTGGTAGAAGCGGACTATATCAGTAGGGCGTAATGATAAGAACTAGTAACGTTACTAACGTACGAATGGGCATGCAACCAGTGCAATTTGAGGCGTTAGAATTAGAGTCCAGACACTTATACTGTTTGCCATTGGATGAGCCTACCAACACGATACTGGCCTTACGATGTAGTCAAGTGAAGACTAGAGTCGGGCTAAGGGTGGGTTCTTAATGCAAGGCTTTTGTGCATTGCGGTGTGCAAGATGGGTGCTTCGGCACCGCCAAGTTGATGATCAGAGGAGTTCCGTTTCCTTCCGACTTTGCTAGATGGCCGAGGTGTAAGCCGTTACGAGTTGCTGACAGCCGTGGTGATCAAGTTTATGCACGTGAAACATGACAGGATATGTCATAAGTAGCATACAATTTTATGTCAAGTGCATTTTATCGTTGAACTCATGAGCTCATCACCCTTGTCGTCGTCCTCGTCGCCGTCGCCATCGTCGATAGAATGGATGAATCCATGGAGCAAGGTTTGTGATTTGTGTTGACATTGCGATGGAAGTGTGATTTCTGACCTGTGTCAATCACTGCCCTGACTCGAATTTGACTGCCACGTTAAACTTGCCCGTCACTCCTTGTCGCTCGACGTCGTCGCCATCGTCTTTCTCAGTCCCTTTCTGCTCAGACGACGCTCGAATCGCGGGCTACGATGCCAATTCATTTCTTCACTGAATCACCACGCAGTTTCGGAGATACTAGGCGTTCGAGTCTAGCTCGAGAACCAAAAGGGAAGGAAAAGGAATCATACGTTGATCATGTCGAATTTCCTTATGGTGCGTTACGACGACTTGACCCGCAAGCTTGAGCTTACATTCTTTAGACCAAGACTCAGCTGCAGCGCTGTTACCCAATTTCACTGTCAATGGGTCAACTAGCATATCATCTAATGAATCATCTACAAGATATCCTTACTTGTATCCTGCACCTCAACAACCAAAGCCAATACCAAGGCCTATATCTCCAAAAAAACAGCGCACTTCCCTCTTATTCTCTCTCGTTCGAAAAAAACCTGGTCACCCTAGTAATGTTTCGCAATATACTCATCCAGTCGTCATGCCCGGCGTTATGGAAATATCCCGCCCATATTCCTATGTCCAAGAGGAAGAGGAGCGAGAGAGACTCAGAGATGCTGCTGCTCAGAGTATTGGTCTCGTCGACTATCCTACCAGCGAACACCCAGAGGATACCCGAGAGGAGGACCAAGTGCCCCCATCAGCAACCATAGATTCACACATATCTGAACCTCCTCTTGTACCTCCATCACCCATACCATCACCAACTCCAACACTCTTACTCCATCTCCCGCCTTTCCCCACAAACCTCGCCTCCCTCAGTTCACGAATCACACTCACAGGTACATTCCCCAAATTCTGTCCCTCATCCTCCCTCCTAGTCTACGCCCTCGCAAAGCAATGGAAAACAAGATCTATAGTCCTCACGACTGCGACCTCGGCCGCGTCGCAGACAGTCACACACCTCCATCTTTTCAAATCAAATATCCCGTCATCCTCGGAGCTTCAGCGCTTACCTATAACCCAAGACACTGCTATCTACGTCACAGAGCAATCCGGGCCTGGTATGAATTCCACTCGAACTGGCACCCTCAGCAAACGCGAAAGCAGGAGCGGAGCGAGAGGCAGTGGAGGCAAGTCAAACGGCTCAGTCGTTGCTATTGAGCAAGGCGAAATCATTTGGCATTTCGAGATGCAAGATCCGAGCGAGAGACAGAAGTGGATTGGTGCCATAAAGGCAATTGTCTTGGGCCAAAGGTAGGTTGTGTCGCGTCGTTGGGTCCTGGTATTAATACCCCTCTCCAGATCCATGCGCGCAGGTCTCACTGCATCACCCCACCTCAGTGGGCATGAACCCCGCGGGGATATGGATGTCATGCTCTCCATGCGACTTCAAGCATCATTATCTTCTGCCACATACCCTATGTCACCCACAGCTTCGTCACCCCGTACATCATCATCTTCTCCACCCGTCTTGGCAGGTTCCCTCCCACTATCACAGCCTACATCCCCAATTAGAGGCTCCTTATCGCTTGAGGTCATGCGTTCCCAACCGCACACAAGGTCCTCGACACCCAACCCACCTGTACCCACCGATCCCTTCACGCGCTCATCAAGCATCAGATCAACTAAGAAATCTCAAAGCCACAGTCCCAACGCTCATAGATCTGGCTCTCGCTCCGGCCCAAACTCCGGTTCCTCTTCCCCAACGCCATCCATCCGACTCCAATCCAAGCGCTCAGGCAACGTCCCCCCAACCCTGCTCTCCCAAACGCACTCTTCCAAATCCTCCACGTCTACTTCCAAATCCTCCACATCTACTACCAAAACCATCAAAGGCATGTTCACCCCTCGCTCTCGTTCGCCGTCCTTGTCTCTCAATGGACACGGGCATGAGCGCGAAAGCGAGTATGCAGAAGAGAGCTTTGGGACGGTGGGGAGCAATTTAATGGGTATTACCGGCGTGGGCATGAGCACCAAGAGGAGCAGCTCGCCAATACGCCGGGAGTCGCCTGTACCCAGCATGGCGTCGTCAGGGCCCGACGAATTCTTTGTGCACCAGCCAAACGGGAGCATCCACAACGGGATTTTGTCCAATGGTGTAGGTGGGACCTCGAGCATGTGCTGCTCGAATACGTGTTGCACGAGCATCAACGGTATACCCGCTTGTGATCTAAAGATTGTCAAAGAAGATGAACGGTGGGCTCCTCCGTCGTCTACGACTGCACCTCTGTCGCCCACGCCTTTCCACTCGCATTCACACTCACACTCGCATTCGCATTCTCTCCACCCGCCCCCGCGGTGCAAGAAGCAGACATCCGTGCAGCCACTTACAGACGCGCTATGCCAGCAAATGGACACAAGCACTACGCCTAGTGTGCAGACCTCCACCGTGACCGAGGACAGCTCAGGTACCTCATTCACCCCACACTCCATCACCCCCATGCTCAACCCAGCACGTCTATCCGTGCAAACAACTTCCACAACAACCTCCACTATCGAAAGATCGGGCTCGTCAGCTTCATCCCTAGCGCCTTCTCGTCGGTGGTCTCGTACCCTCCCGAAGCGGTTAACGCCCCCCAGTGGCCCGCTACCCCTGACACCACAAACTCTACACGAGTCTGAGAAAGGCGTGAGTCCTATTAGTGCGGGTTCTGAGAATCCTAGTGCCGCGTTTTGGAAGAGGACGAGTGGGTCGAGTACTGTGAGCAGCGTAAGTGTGAGGTCTGGGTCTGTGCAGCGGACGAGTACGGTTGGGTCTCTTGGTTCAGGGATTGGTATAGGTCTTGGTGGTAGTGGTGGAAGTATTGGTGTGGGGAGTAAACGCCGCTCGATGCCTCCTCCGCGTCCTGCTCCGAGCTTTGCGCCTCCTCCTGCGCCTGAGCAAGAACAACAGCTCAAATCACAGCCACAGTCCCATAAAACGCTGTTCAGAACATCTGTAGCTCAGCGCGCGTTGAGGCTAAGCCTAACTGCACCTCGTCCACCACCTTCGGGCGTCCTTCCACCGCGTCCAGATGAACCTGCATACCGCAGTAGCGTAGAATCATCAATATCGACATCGATTCCTCCTCGTCCTGATAGCGCCGCTTCTGTACGGAGCATGTCTATCAAGCAGCGTCTGCGGATTCTCAGCACGCCGTCGTCTCCGCCCCCTGTTGTCGCGTCGCACGATATTGATCCCGATCTCACACCGCACCAAATTGCGCATCCCGTAATCATTACACCTATGCCCGGTCGGAGGAGTAGGAGCAGGAGCAGGAGCAGGAGCCCCACCAGCAGGGCCAGCACCAGCAGCACCACCTATTCCCGACCCCCAACGCCTCCCCTCCCAGGTACCCCCATAACAACGATGCAGAACGATCCATGTTTCTTATCGCCAAGCACACACATCTTGCTTCCGACGGTTCCACCACGTAATCCGCTCCGTCCATCACAACGCCTCCCAAGTGCCCCAGAGATAAAGGCGTTGTCGCCACCTCCGAGACGGGGGAGTAGGCAACTTATGGTGCAGAGTGTTGCTGATGGTGGAGATGAGAGGGAGAAGGAGGTGGATGGGTGTGTGGAGAATGAGCTTCCTGATTTTTCGGATATTCGGGTGAATGCGTCTTAGGAGCGAGTGGGCCACGGACGGAGTATAGGGGATGATGATCCTCAGTCATGAGCTTTGAACTTTACGCGCTGAACTTGTTATCCAAACCTTTTCTTGCAGTCGTCGAGTTCATGTCTTTTGCATTTTTTTCTTTCTTTCATACAGGTGGTGCATATCGTTAACCTAGTTCATACAAACAATCTACAAACTCAATGTACAATGTATATGTAGGCATAAATTACATTTCTGCCAGTGCTGCGCTGTTATTTGACCGATAGGTGTCAGCTATTTCTTCCTGCTCATCAGTACCCATGTACGTATGCCGACGCCCATCATCTTCGAGGGGCGAGCTTCAATCACCGGCTCAATCTTGACAACCTTAGGGGTAAAAACAGTTGATCACAGGGATGAGCGCGAAGAAAATAACATAATATCGTGTGGATAAACTATTTCGTACAAGTGAGATTTTCGTATGCAGCTACATGAAAACAGGAAGTGAAACGAAGAGCCGTAATAAATCAAGCAAAACTGTTTTCAACATCAGCACTATCATCGCCGTGCTCCAGGTTTGCAAAGGTCAAGAACGCCGCAGGGCGGTGATCCTCTGCCCAGAACAATAGTGGCGTGTCCAGTGTCACAGCATATGACAGGTTGGCCGACCACAATTGGGTAAGACCAATACCGTAGTTCCACACTTTGCCTTCGGGCACGAGTGTCATGCCAAGAATACGATCAGACAACAGGAGCTGCACCCGTTCTGACATGTTAGGGTTGAAGCCAGGCGGGTTGGCAGAATTATCCACGTTCTTGCGGCCCCACTCGAAGCCAGGTACCGTCAACTGATGGGCAGATAACGAGACTGAACCGGGAGTGAAGGAAGCAGCGATACAAATTGACGAGGAGCTCCACTCTGGGTGGTCAGCCATCAACTTGGCTTGGGTGGTGACATCTGTGGGAGAAAGATGGCTGAGCTCGAGCGCTTGCGTCTTGACCCACCCAAGAGGTTCGAGATCTTTGAGAAGGAAGTCGTCCTTCGGCAACTGGCTAGGCAGCTCAACGCTATTGTTGCTTCCACGCTGAGGTACCCATACAACTGCCTTGATCTCCTTGACCTGCTTGTTGTCTGGAGGCGAGACACCGTACAGGAAGGCCGCAACTTGAGTGCGAAGATCAGCCGCAGTGATGAATGCCCGCAGGATGTTCTTCGGCAATACATAGGTGTACGAAGCAGCGTCGTCCTTGACATCATCATTGGAGACATAGATATGTTGGAGACGGAGGGGAAGATGCGTAGCAGAGATGGCACGAACACGCCAATCAGATTTGCTGCTAAACACCTGCTGTTCGTAGTTGGTTGTCGTGACGGTCTGAATCGTATCACCGTGAACGTTGGTGGTCTGAGTTTGCACAGCGGTGACTTGACCCTGCGCCTCATTACTCTTCTCAAGCTCGGCCATCTGCTGGCGCTGTACGGAGGGAGCGGCAATCTCTTGACCAAGAATGATGTCGCGAATTTCACTCGCAGTCAAGGACGCGATGTTGACGCTGTTCCGCTTGCCGAAATCCTTGGACTCGATGAGTTAAAGTTCAAAAAGTGTGCGATATTACTTACTGCCAGTATAAGATCCTTCATTGCGACCTCAACTTTGATCCATTCATCATCTGTAAGAGTGGGCCAGACGAAGTGAGGCTCTGTAATGGTCGACTTGTCCGGGTGCAAAATAATCTTCGCCTTCTCGTTGTTGACGTGCAAGCCACGAAGAAGGAGGATAAGACGAGAGAAGGCAGTGTAGCTAGACACCGACTTGAGCCAGTCGTCGTACAAGCTGAACAGTACCATTTGAGGTTGTGTGGCACGCTGTGAGAAACAGTATCAGTAATCAAGATGTAAATACGCGTGGACCCACTTACTAGGATCAAGTCACCGAACTTCTCCATCTTCATGCAAGCCTGGAAGGGCAGTTGTAACTCACTTCCCTTGATGACGATGTTCGGGAAATCAAGTAAGTGAACCTCGAGAGGGTCCAACATGCCCTTGCGAGTGACGATGACCTGCTTTGGCTGTTCTTCGACAGGCAGTGAACGAACCAATGCAGCCACTTCTTCGGCAGTCTTCCACTTTGCGAGTTGACCGAGACGCTTTTGGCCAGCCCAGACACTGGTGTGGATGATCTTCAGGAACAACTGTCCAGAACGTGGGTTGAAGATAAAGATGGCGCCGTTGATCGGTTTGGTCGTCAGGTTACCTTCGAACGTCTTGTGGATAGTGACACGATACACATTAGTGTCGTCGACGAACCAAATGATCTGGTTCGAAAATAGTTCCGAATAGTTCTGGCTGTTGAGATAAGGCTCCGTGGGCTCAGAAGAGTACAACTGGAGACCCTTGCGAATACGCTCGCGCAAGACGTGGCATGCCGGATTGGCCTTCATGATCTTGGCCATGGCTTGCTGAATCAGAGGCTTCATACCGGGGAACCAGTTGCCGTACGCAGACCACAGGTTATAGGCTAGATCCATGCCGATCATAACCCCAGTTGGCGAGGGGTAGATACTCATGGAGTCGGACACGTAGTCCAAGAACTTGGCACGAGTATACCGCTCGATATCATGGGTGTCGAAGTCACCCCACCGAAGCTGAACGTCAATCCAATACTTGTTGCTGGTCGTGCCATCCAAAACGTCCTTGTTCTAAAGAAACCGAGAGATCAGATCAAAGTCCAATGGGGTATTGAAAGTGACCAACATCTGTGACCAATGAAGGCCGAGAGATATTCCATTTGTAGGCTGAGAACAGCAAGATATCGGCGCAAGACGAATTCATCTTGTAACTCTTACGAGGGTGAATAGTCTCCTTCTGTACTGTCTCGATCTGGAGAGGCTCTAGCTCCTGATCAAAGACCTGACACAAGTCCATGACTACACTTTCGTGAATCTTCTGCCACAAGTGCGCACGGAAGATCTGAATCAGCGAGATCTTGAGGGTGGGAATCTTGCCGTGCATGAAAATACCCGTCAGATCAAGCTGGACCTGGAAACCGACATAGACGTTGGCGCGGTTGATGGTCGGACTCCACCAAAGCGTGAATCGACGGTTAGGGATCTGGTTAAGACCTGACCTCTGGGCGTTGGTAAGTTTCTTGTATCGCATAGACTCTTCGAATCCAGACGCTTTCTCCCAGAAGAGACCCTCCCAGGTAGGGAAATAAGTTCCTTTGAAGAGCGTGTGCTCCAAGATACCCTCGACACCGCCTAGTGCAGCAATGACATCAACACGGTAGTTGTTCAATTGCCAGAGCTTTCCGTCATGGCGCTGAGATGTCCACCAGAAGGGGTTGCTACAATAGCCATTTCATTAGTCAACAATAAATCAAGGCAGGTGGAGGACTCGCTGTTTCAGCAGTTGGTACTGCTTCCAATCTGTACGCACACGCCAACCTCGGTCATATGCCAATGTATGGCGATCCTTTTGGAAGAGAGTGTTGATACGAGGAATACCACGGTCCCAGCTATCTTCAAGATCTTCAAGGGTGAGGCGCCGATTCTGGGCATTGGCCTCCTTCCGCTTCATGGAGTACTCCGACCAAACACGAGCCGAATCCAAGAATTCTGCCTCCCATGGCTGAAGATATCTGTACAAGTTCGGAATCAACTGGTCCTCCTCGTGGGTCATACCAGCACGGAAATGCGTCACTGATCAAACGAACTGTTAGCCAGAAGATGATTATCAAAGAAGAGAGTAAACGAACCTCCAACGTCAGTTTGCTTGGACCATCGCAAGTCACTCTGCGGGATAAGAACGTGACCCATCGAAAGCATTCCAAGACCACCAAGCTCCTTTGGTGTGTAGAAGACAACAGGAGGGAAACGGGATGGCATCTTACTGTTTAAGCCGATCTTGACACGAGTTTGAATCTTGTTCTCTGCTTTGACAAGAGAGTCCAAAAGCTCGTTTGTGTGGATGACAGCCTCACGGTAGTAGGTCATCAAACCGATCAACGCAGTGTTCCACTTGTTGACGATCTTCGAGAAAGTGGTGGAACCGGAGCTCATAAGGACCTGACGAATACGATTATTGAATTGCTGGACACCGTCATCGGAGACACGGAGGAACGCCTGCGCAGTTCTCTCTTTGGTTTGCTCGTTGGTGAGATTCCACACAGCGTCCTTCAACGAGAACTGCTCGCCACCCATCGTCCTAATCTTGGGCAAGATACGGACCTCGAACCCGCACATCGAGAACAACAACTGTGGGTTGTCCTTCGAGTAAACGCTGACAAAGGTGTCCTCCCACTCGATGGTGGTGAGTGAGCGCGGCAGGCTGTTCTTAACGTTCCAGAAAACTGCTCTTCCGAGGTTAACGTCATGTTTGATGAGACGCATACGACAATCTCGAGGCCAGCAGCGCTTGTTGTTATACCCAATGACGTTGTTGTTGGTCGGGTCAGGGTTGGCGCTAAGATAGCGTTGGATCAGGTCCCTTGCCTCATCCGCGCTGAAGCGGAAGAGAATGTGTAAGCGATCAACATAACGGGAGTATAAGCGGATGGGATGACGAGTCTCTGTTGCCGAGTCGCGATACTGCAAAAAGTTGTTAGGCATCTGTGGAGGACCCGCCATCTCGCTAGCTCGCTGCAAGCCAAGAATGAGGAGATCAAGGACGAGACCGTAGTACTGGAAGACGAAGGCAGAGAACTGAAGACCACGGATGAGACCGAATGCATTCGTATGTGCCATGTCCTTGTAGGTCAGCACTGTGTTGTTTTTCGCGGTGATGTAGTCTGCCAAGTTGTGATCAAGAATGAGACGGAGGAGACGGTTCAGCAGGGTCAGGTCGATCTTCTCATACACCTTGGAGAAGACGGTCTCCATCATCACGTTGCACTCGCCCTCGCTCGTCTCCCAGATATCTGTCAAGTTGTTAACGCCTTGGCACCACTTGTACACAAGCAACGGCGGTGGCTCCGTGTCGGCAGGTTTGATCCAGGCAGGGAACAACCCTCTTTTATCTGCCTCGAAGAAGAGGAATTGATCGAGATACTGTGAAGTATCAACGTCAGCATGACATATAACGGAGTAAATGCTGAAACCTACGGCGTCGGTGATCTTCTCAACGGGCTCGATGTCGTAGCACGGAATGAGTTTGTCGTACGTGTCAAAGAACTCAATACCAGCCTCCTTGAACGCACGCTGGGTAAGAAGCAGTCGCTTGATGCGCGACAGACATTCGTGCGGATTGTCATACGCCTGTTCAATGAGGGCAAGCTCCTCACGCTGCGACTGGTTAAGACGACCCTTGACTGAGTAAGCCTCCTTCAGTTTTTCAAGTGCAAGTACAAGCAATTTCGTATCGTGCTTGTACGACAGAGGGCTAGAGAAAACGGTAAGTTCAAAACGTGCAAACCATGCCTCGCTTGCTTACGGGAATGGTATAGGAGCAAATTTACGGCTCTCAAGCCAGTGAACAGTCGCTGTGTAAATTGCAACGGCCTCCTCCGCACTGATGTACGGCCCATCCTTCAAGTACCCATGCTGCCTTTCCTGCTCTGCTTTCAAGTAAAGGCGTGTTAGCCGACCCAGATTTTTCTTCACTACTGCCTTATCAACCGTAGCACCTCGACGGATACGCTCCCGATTATAGTGTGCAACCGAGCACCACCAATCAGCTTTGCTCTTGATATACCGCAGGATGATGTTCTCGATCGCAGTGGGCATTCCAGGGACTTTCCATGGAATGTTCGCTTTCCAGCAACGCCACGCCTCCGAGAGATGCTGCAAAATCGTCTTCGACTTGTTTTGTTTAATAGACTCAGGCATCATGTCGAGAATGTCATGCATGACAGCCGCACGTAACTCGAGGTCATAGTGAGATTCGACACGTTGCTTTGTCACAGTCTTCGCAATGCCCTTGCTGTTGCGTCCCTCGAACTGACGCGCGAGGAGGTTACCAAGCCAGCGCTCGAGTAACGGTACAATGCCTCGCATGAAGAAGAGCCAGACACGCCAGCCAGGAGCCCAGAAGCCATTTCCAGGACCCTTGCCGACAGGGCCAGTATTAAAGCGGTAGTAGATCAAGTGCTTGAGATCTTTTGTCATGCGAACTTGTCTCATGAGCTGGATGAATAAAATCAACAAAATAAATTTCGCCTATAACCGAGATTATGCGAACCTTGTACTTGTACCGGTACATACCAGTCAATGCCCCAATGTGCGCAAAGATATACTGCAGTGCATCTGCAAGCTGGAAAGCATCGACATTGCCAAGGCGGAACTGAACGTGAGCATCAACAACAAGCTTTGTAAGGCGCAGAATCTCGCGACATAAGTGGAAGGCGTTTCCGAAGCGAGACTTTTTGCGCTCCTTCGTAGTAAGCGTCTTCACTGGCTTCAAGTTCATGTTATAGTCGAGATGCAAGTAGTTCAAGTTCTGAAAATGGAAATTAGCTTCAATGTACCCCAGCGGTCTCTAAGAAGGCTTACCTTTCTGTGGATGAGGAGATTAAGCATGTTATACCCTTGTCTGCACACCTGCAAACCGGCTTCTACCCAGTCAAGTTTTGTCGTCTGAAAGAACTTCGTCGCCTTCAACTGCCGGAAGAGATTCTTTTTAGTCATTGCCTTCTCAGGTCGACTCTTGAGTTCGTTGAGGACAAAACACTTGAGCAATTTCTGGTACGATACGCGAACTTTGACTGGCTGGTTAGGAGGACAATGCTCCAGATACCAGTTCTTCACCAGAGGTATGTCCTGCGCACGACGCATGCGGCCAGAGCGCCGATTATAAGGCTCAGGCGCCCACCACAGAGCAATACCATCAGCAGTGAGGTCGTTCTCGAGGGGCCTGTCCTCAAGGAATGGTTGCACTTCATTGGGCAACTCAAAATCGTCGTCGTCGGCGCCATTCGGTCCGAATATAGAGTCTTCGTGAGAGACAAGCGGTGCATTCTTGGGATGAGCGCCGCGCAGGGAGATGGGATTGATGAGGGGGTCGAAATAGAAGGCGGGTAGGTCGGGATCATCAGTGCGAATATAGACATTCTTGGGCGTATGATATGGAGAGAGGTGAACAGAGCGCGGGAGAGAGTTATAGAGATGCGGGAAGGCAACTTTGTACTCCGTACGAATTTGTTGACGAATGATGACTTTATTGACGTCATTGAATTCGTTCCAATCTTCGTCGAAAGCATCCATGTCACGGTACAATGGCTCAAACTTCGGCCCTCCAGGAATTGCCAAGTTCAGAGCTTTTGCAGTGAAGAAGGATTTCTTGTCAAAAAGATAGCTTGCGTTGCTATCAGGTTGGTCTGATAATAAGGTTCTCCCAAGACGATATAAATTCGCCATGACGGGTAGTGAAAGTTGCCAATAGCGATACGAGGGGCCGTTGACCGCAGGTGTGTCCACCAACGGCTTTGGGTCGTAAAACCAATCAATGATAGCAGAATCTTCCTCTGAATCGAGTTCCAGCTGAATGGCTTCAAGAGGCTCAACATCCAGTACGTTATCACCATAGTCCAACGGTGGCTCTTCGTCATCAAAAGGTGGAAAGCGCATACGCTTGAAATGTCTGCGGTCACGCTTCTCTCGACGCATCGCTAGCCACATGGAACTCCATTGGGCATGATAAACAGGTTCGATAACGCGGGGGATCTCATTGACGAAAGTGATTGCGCCAGTGATATGATAAAGGACGGGCACCTCGCGAACCTGCTCCCAGGGGTATGGAATATTTTCGAGCAACTTCATTACAGCGTGAGGGACGTATTTCAAGGCGCCAAGGTGGACACGTTTATCATTGCGAAACTTGCGATTGCTCATATCACCGTGGTCCTTGATAATTTTACGGACGTGCTCCGGAGGCAAATCCTAGGCAATCATTGTTTAATACGTGTAAAATCACATACCAACTGAACGCACCTGTTTTCCCATATCGACGTACCCTCCTTTACGCTTTTCGCCGTAGCGCTTCTTCTGCATAGACACCCATTTCTGCGACTTTTGTGCAAGGACTTCGGGAGGCATCTTTGAGGTGGACGCCTGTAGAAATCCTGGCGGTGGAGGCATGCCTGGTGGTGGGGGCGGCAAGCCCGGAGGAGGACGAATGAACGAACTCATGGTCGTCGATGTTGAGGGCGACGGTGAAAGTTTGGTTGATGACTAATTACCACTCTCCTTCAACTTTTAATTTCAAACTCCGGCGGTTCAAAATGCGATTACTCATCATCACACTGTGGGTAGTAGATACATGAAAATTCAGTGATTTGACTCACTGGGTTTCCTGAATCCTTAGAGGGTTTCTATTGAAATATAGCGCATACTCACTGGAATTCCACGATTTTATTATCACTGAAAGGACCAATCTACTCTACGAGAAAAAGTTTCAGTAGAGACTCTCTACTGGAATATGAGTGAGAAAATGACTGGAAAATGGTGAAAATATCATCGAAATCCAAGGTGACTCTGGTTGAAATTTCATGCGCTATGCACTCAAAGGTAAACGAGCTAATTATTGCATTCTCATAGAGCAGGTCATTATAATATTACAATACAGTACACTTTTCATAACACATAACGTCGGGACCCCTCCCAGGCTATGCATTATCACCCCTTATGCATAACCAAGTTGTGTGACATATGTGACACATTGTGATGCCATGTGACCTCCCTCAAGAGTGTGACAGCTGAGAGTGGTACAGAACATATCATTTTCTATTTACTGAAGTATGAATCTATTGTTGTCTGCTTTGCTCCGTGAATTTCCTCTTTGCGCACACAAGCCCTAAATGCCTGCAGCTGTTTTGAGAGATCAAATGAGAGCTCGAGTTCACCAAATTGAAGGCAAGCATCTTCGAGTTGCTGGCACAGCATGAAAAATTGTGTGAAAGTGTAAAACAATTTCAGCTTGTGACTGACAGGGATGGGTATCAATGTATGTGAAGACAACGAGCCAGTCATTTAAGGTGAGATTTTTTCGAGTTGTGACCTTATGAGGTTTGGCTGAGGTAGCGGGTGCATCTTTATTCGTTGTGACTGTCTGCAAGCACTGCTTGTAGGGAGCTGGCTTCTCCCATGGTTTGTGGGTCTTATTGGGCATGCGAGAGGAGAACAAAGACAAATTTTGACACCACTATACACTTTAGACAGTCTAAACTACATTAGTATAGGTGCTGAACAGTGACCGACATCAGGAAGAAGTGAGGCTGCAGGGTAACACTATATAGCCTATGTTGTGCGAGTAGTTGAGTAGCTACCCCCCCCTCTCTGGAACACTTGGTAGTACTGTGTTGATACAATATAGTTCATGATAGCACCCAATTGCTGTGGAGTCAAGTAGCCGCATCCCACCAGTCGTGCTAAATTGCACTCGGTAGCATAAGTCATACATACAATAGTCAGCAGTATCAGTTCATAGTTGCCGTTTCATCTCTCAAAACACTCAATAAACATGAAAAACATATAGAATTCTTGAGCGAATGGTGAATAAATAAGCATCCTACTACTACTCATCATCCCCAGAATCACTAAAGATACCCTCACGGTCATTGTACTCTTCGATGGCGGCATCAAATGCGCTACATGCCATAGTGCAGCCAGTGTCGTGACCAAGCGGATCTGCCTTCGAATGAATGCTAGCAAGAAAAAACCAATTAGATATCATCCCCAGCTTTGAAATGTCACATACCGGCCATTGTCATGAAGACGGGACAACAACTTTGGAAGCAGGCCCTGAGCTTTGGTATGCTCATCAAAATCTGCGAGGTTATTGAGATGCTCATCGAGCACACCCTGATACTCATCCACGGTGAACATCTTGTTTGATTGAGCACCAGTGCTCCACTTGTCGATGCCGCTTTCAATCTAACAACAGAAGACATTAGTACGCGAACTTCAACATGGCACCTCAAAAACGCACCGCAGTCAGGAGCAATGCAAGCCCAACCTCTGGGAAAGGTTTGTAGAACTCAGGGTAAAGCACACCTTCGTCCTTCTTATCACGAAACCACATCGTATTCACCACCTTCTGGATGATCTTCGCATGATACAATCCTTTGTTACCATCAGGAGTGCGAGTCTGATAATACACTAAGCCACTGGCGCCAAAAAATGATGATTACTTACCTTATAAACAAATCCAAAATCCTTCTTGAGCTCCCGCGTGAGCATGACATTGCGATCAATCACAGATTGCTTTGTACTCGTCTCAAACCCATACTCATCTGCAACATATGGTCGGACTTTACTCTTGACCTCGCCACGAAAGTGAGAGCCTTGGGAAGTGATCTACACAGTACTGGAACAGTTAGTAGAGAGATCATCTATCAGAAAAATAACAGACCATTTTAATAATCTCGGCGTCATAAGCGACATGAGTCTGTAGCCTCTTACATGCATCGTTCCATGCTAACTTCGCCCAAGTGACCTCCTGCATCCGATCGGGCATAGCTCCCTCTGTGCAGAGATGCCCGCGATATAGTGCCCAAGCAACACCAAAAATCGTACGAACAGATGGTTCATAGTCAGCAGCCTTTGGTCGCCCCCTGCTTTCCTGGATCTTGACGGCCTTGCGAACTTGCCCATCATCCTCGTTGTCACTGTCCGATGGTCTGCGGTGACGTTTCCCTGGCTCAACACTAGGTGTTGGGGACCTACAAGTAGTACTACCTTCATCCTTGTTGTCCATACATTCGCCATCCATGTCGAAGTCCACCAGGCCTGCGATGGCATCATCAAACATATCTTCATCAGTAGGGCTGGGAGAGCGAGCAACGATGTTGTTGAGAGCCGAAGCTGGGTGGGAAACACTTGCAGCCAGGGGACTACTTGCTTGCATGGAAAGAACGGCCTCACAAAGGCGCAAAAGCTCGGCAGCCTTCTCGGGTGTCAACATGTGGGGGCGTGGTGTCATCTTGAAGAATGTTAGTCAAATCACAAGCGCCAGAATGCAAAATAAACATACAGCACCCATAGAAATTCTGCGTGGCGCCGGGGGCACCACACTTTTACGTCGCACTAAGTTTGGGTCCCTCACCGGCGTCAAAACAGTTTGACTTGAGAACTACATATCAAAGTGTTATTAAGAACGACATACAGAAAAAAAGGCTCACTCCAGGGTCATGAACCGACAGAGCAACAGATCCCCGCAGTGGCGTGTCGGAAAGTGCTAGTGAAACATTGATGGCATCAGCGAGGTAATACAATGAATGAAACATGCACTAACCTGTTCGTCCGTTTTTCTGGTATGCTTCGCGTTCTGCAGCCTTACTGGCCTTTTGGCAGGCCTTTTCTTGACATTCCTGGGCTTTATCAACCTGCTGGCATTGTCGATTTTCTTTATCCTTGTGGGTCTCGGCTTTGAATGAAGGTTCAATCAATAGTCATGATAAGAGATTGACACAGGGCTGACTTACACACATATTGAGCCCTCTCAGTAGGACGGCGATCATGGCGGCTAGCAGCCCGCTCGGCAGCAGCAGATCTCGCAGCTGAAGACATTAGTAGTTCTGTGTAGATCAACGAGATCAGATCAGATGAGGGATGGAAAGAACAGAGAGAGAAAAATACATGCCTACTATGGCCTGATGAGGAAGTGATCTACCGACAATGCCCGACAGCGTCAGACAACGGAGCTTAGGAGTCGGGATGTCAGTCCGTTTCAGTCCGAGACATGGTAGGCTGTTTTACTCAAGTGAGACCAAGACAAATACAAGAAATAAGATGAGCTAGCTACCTCTTGCATCTTCCATAATGGTGCGGACAACACAAAAACCACGCTGTAACTTTTGTCTCAAAGAACTGGCCCGACGGAAAGATGTTACCTTGCACATTCAAAATACTCCAAGATGTCGGCAACAATGGGAACTCCTCGTCTCGAGTCAGCAAAAGGCCACGGTTTCTGAACAACCAGACAAGCAACAAGATACGTCAGGTCCAGTCACACCCCCGGAATATGATTATGACATACCTGAAGATATAGACTATGAATTTCCACCAAGAGCGAGGAGAGCTGAGTATGAGCCTGTTGAAGCCCCGCAATCGAAACGGGCTCGAGTGGAAGAAGTAGCAGATGAAGAGCACCCAGAAAGATTTGCGAACATGTTCCCGCACCCTGCCGCAGATGTTTTAGGGGCAGGACAGACGGCCTTCGAAGAAATTCGGGAGGATCAGATTAACATGGGTCTTGAAGCAAATCCATGGGCGCCATTCTGTGATGAGGAAGAATGGGGTCTTGCAGAGTGGCTTGCAAAGAGAGTCAACCAAAAAGCAACTGATGAATTCCTGAAACTCGCCATTGTCAGTGTTCTTGTTCATGTTTACAAATCAGCCATCATGACGCACCCACTTAGACCAAAAATCGCACTCAGCCAAGCTATACGAGTAACTATACATTCCGAAAGAAACTTGACAAGTTACCGAAAGGACCGGGTTGGATGTGCGATATTGTGACATCAACGGGTGATCGAGTGGATGGGAGTCAGGAGTTCCTCACCGAACGACATGAACTATGGCGGCGGGATCCTGTAGAGTGTGTGCGTGAGCTGGTTGGTAATCCCGCGTTCAAGGAATATCTTGCGTACCTGCCAGAAAAAGTTTATGAGGATCCTGAAGGAAAGACACGGGTATATGACGAGATGTGGACAGGTGACTGGTGGTGGAATATGCAGGTCAGTCAAATGAAAACTGGAATACGAGGACAGCTTACCATGATTTAGGAACACCTTCCACCTGGTGCTGTTATTGCGCCCGTGATCCTCGCGTCTGACAAGACAAATCTGACCCGTTTTCGAGGAGATAAAGCAGCCTGGCCGATCTATCTGACAATTGGGAATATCAAGAAGGACATCCGCCGTCAGCCTTCCAAGCATGCAACAGTGCTGATAGGATACTTACCAATATCGAAGATGCTGCATTTTAAGGATGACGAAGGACGGCAACTTGGTCGCTATCGACTGTTCCATAACTGCATGCGGTTGGTGATGGAATCACTGATTGATGCGGGTTGTTGTGGAGTCGAGATGATCTGCACTGATGGGAATATCCGACACATTTTTCCGATCCTTGCAGCGTATATTGCAGATCACCCCGAGCAGTGCCTTATTGCGTGTTGCAAAGAAAATCACTGCCCTTGTTGTGTTGTGGGAACCAAACAACGAGGAGACCATGTTGACTCACCTCTCCGCAATGTCACTGAGACCAGAGCAACTCTCAAACGACATCAAAATGGTGAAGACCCTCACCTTTTTGACGATCACGGTCTGTGTGTGATTCATTATCCGTTCTGGGCGTATCTCCCCCACACCGATATTTTCACCTGCATCACTCCAGATATTCTCCACCAGCTCCATAAGGGAGTCTTCAAGGACCACATTGTTAGTTGGTGTGCTACAATCATCTCCAACGCAGAGTTCGATGCACGTTTCCAAGCTATGTCCGATTTTCACGGTCTCCGTCACTTCAAATGGGGAATTTCGAATGTCTCTCAGTGGACTTGCACGGAGCATAAAGAGATGCAGCACGTTGTTTTGGGTGTCATTGCAGGTGCTGTTGAACCTCGTGTGTTCCAGGCTGCTCGTGCTATTCTCGACTTTATTTATTATGCTCAATACCATGCTCACACAGACACAACTCTCATGCGAATGCAGGAAGCACTCAATGTGTTTCATGCAAATAAGGCTGTCTTCATTGAGCACGGCCTTCGCGAGCACTTCAACATTCCGAAGGTTCATTCAATGTGCCACTATGTGCAGTCCATCCGATCTTTGGGAAGTGCTGATGGTTTCAACTCGGAGAGCCCTGAACACCTGCACATCGACTATGCGAAGGATGCTTACCAGGTGAGCAGCAAGGTTGATTATATTGCGCAGATGACGCACTGGCTCAAACTTCAAGAAGCTGTATTTCGACATGGTGTTTATCTTGATTGGGTTGCATCCCAAAGCCGAGATCCTCTCGCCAACTCAGACTTAGATGCACTTGAGGAAGAGGATGAGGAAGAGGAGTTGGCAGATTCAGATACCATGATGCACACTCCAGATGTTTTGCTATCTCAGTTCACTCCATCAGGTCTACTAAAGTCGCATGGCTATCGCGTGGCCAAAACATGCCCTTTCGTCAATGTCTCCATGTCTCGTCTGCAAACAGACTTCGGCGCCATTGACTTCATACCTGCTTTGCAAACATTCCTCGCTCGCCACTTTCCTCATTCATCCATCTCTGCCAGCGAGTATGATCGGTTCAATGTCTTTAAATCGGTGCTACTTCTTCTCCCTTGGCGAAATCACATCAGCGATGTCAAGCGGCTGAATAGGATTCGAGCTCACCCAGCTATCCCCAATAGCAACCGTCGCAAGCCGCCATCACCAGCACATTTTGATGTGGCATTCATTGTTGAGGACCGCCAGTTATGGGAGAGCAGTACAGGTTTTGATGGTATGTCTTGCAATTGCACTCAAAGTATGATGCTGACGCCAATGCAGGGTTGCGGCTCGCACAAATACATGCAATATTTAAATTACCATCTCAGTACGGTGAATTTCCTCATCCCCTGGCTTACATCGAATGGTTTCGACCTCTGTGTGAGCCGGAAGCCGCCACCAGACTCTATCGAGTGGCACAGTCGACTCGTAACCAACAGCGATTCGCAGCGGTCGTCAGTGTTCAAGACCTTCTGCAAGGAGGTCATCTGTTTCCTAGGTTTGGATCGGGCAAAGTAGATGTGTCGTGGATCAATAGTGATGTTCTCGAGCTCGCTGATGAGTTTTATGTCAATCCTTACATTAATTTCTACCTGTTTGACACTATGGAGCGCTTATAGAACATTTCATAGCGAGTTTACATCACGCGCGGGGATAGTTGTTCACATAGTTGCATTGTTATACATAGCACTTCGCATTGACCGAGTAGACTACCTGTAGCTCTGGGATACCAGCCATATGACTACTGTGGCTCTGGTGTTATGTCCGTCTACCAGGAGCTACTGAGACTCCCAGGCGTCACATAGTGTTGGCATGGTGCTATGAGTCAAAATGCTTTTTCCAGATGGATGCTGACCTGAACATGACCTGATGTGTTACCAAGGCTCCTCATAATGCATAAATCAGCCCAGAGGCTTATGCATTATGCGTTATGCATTTTGCATGCATATTGCCCACATCCCACAATGGGACCCACCCAAAGGTGATGCATTATGAAAAAGTGTACTGTAGCGATATCAGGCACAATTTGAGCAATACACAGACAGACCACAATTTGAAGGCTCAAGAGACATTATAAGTTGCCAGGAATAGCCATCCAAATGTGCATGAGCAAGAAATTGAAGCAGCCAGAAATTGAAGGAGCATGTGAGAGATCGAAGCGGGACCTAGAGTAAAGGACAAGATATAACATGAGAGTCCTGGACGTGCAGCCAGTTATGTTGAAGTACCACAAGAAAGGCTGGCAAGATGCAATAAGGCATTGGGAAGTGCAACTGAGGGCTTATTTGCGAGTATGGAAAATTAACAGGTGACTGGTCAGTGAGACTAGTGATGTGTGGGCCCAGCTTGGCCTGAAAGCCTTAGGCCTAGCCTGAGGAGGCTTGGGCTTTGAAGAAATTCAGGCTGAGCCATGGGCCAAAGCTGCAGCTGGCTTGGGCTCATTCATGGCCTTTGAGAAGGAAAAGAGTCTATATTCAATACAAGTATACTAACATTAGTCGTCGTCTGCTGAATCAATATCAGATCCTGACACATCATCGTCATCACCTAAAATCAATGTATCCCACCCCTCATCATCTGCTGCTTCGACTTCTAACACCTCAGCCTCATGTTTGGAGTCTTCAGTTCCTTCTTCTATGAGGGAAGATGGACCAGACTCCCAGAATAGAAGATTGTTATGGAGAGAACACTTGACACATTGTAGGGCCTCAACAATATCTCCTTTCAACCGATTGTGCTGCTTGCTGATCATGATCCCACCTTGTGAGAAAGCTTGCTCACTTGAGACCAACACTGCCATAATAGTCTCTCACCAGCAAAGCCCACATAGGATATCTCTGGCCATTGATCTTAACAGAAACAGCAGTTAGTCACAAGAAACCTCAAAGTGAAAGTCACTTACACCCCACCACTGAATAGTAGTGATACCCACTGATGGAACCGCCTCAATAGTTTCAATGTAGCTCATAAATTTGGCCCTCCATGGTTTCAATGGATCACTAGTAGATGTGGCACCTGGTTCTGGCTTGGCATCATCCTCAGAGTCACTCTGGACCTCCCAAATGAGTTTCTTGAGGCCACTAACCTTACTTTTCATGGTTGTGGGCTGTGACAACACCCGACCTTGATGTAGCTTGTCATAGCACTTGAACACATTCTCAGCATAAGTAAGCATGTCATCAAGCAAGTTCGATGGCCAATGTTTTTTAAAGTAAGCAATTTTTGCCATTGGATCAAGTACTATATCAAATGTTAGAGTTGCACTGACTGAAAGAGAAAATGATGAACACATAGCAATGATGTAGGCTGGATAGTTCATATGTCGGAAAAAGTTATTTTTGCTTGGCATACCTTATAAGGCATTGCAAGCCCTCAATTGATTGAGCCCATTTGAAGTGCTTGAAAGCGGACCCAAAAATCTTGCAAGTGAGGCTCAATTGACACTTGCAGGCTGATTGCAACCTCATTTAGGGACAGATTGGGACATATTTTTGCAAAAGTTACATTTACAGCCCCTTGTAAGCTGCTTGCAACACACTTGCAAGTCCCTTCCAATTGACTTGGAAAAATTTCGGGTGACCTTGCAACCCCTCAATTAGCCTCAAGAGGGGTCCCTTGCAAGGCACCTTTGGAAATTTCCAACATAGTCCTCTCATAATACTCATCTAGCTTTGTTGCTGCTGCCTTCAGTGCACAAGCGAACCAATGTAGAAACAACAATACTGCGAGGCGCGAATGAGGCTCCTGACTGTATCTGTAAATGTTGTAGGTCATGCATTGCCTAGTCTGCTATATTTGAGAAGACAAGTGCATTTGACCCTAAAGGGGAAGTGAGTGCAGCAAGGATCTAGAAGTGTGCGCTAAAGCGAAGCACAAGAAAGTGCAGGTGCGCGCAAGGCACAAAGGCGTGGGAACATGCGCGCGTGATGCGCGAAGCGCGGGAAAGTGCGCGCAGGTATGCAGAAATGAGAGAGACTAAGCTTAAGTGATGATATAATGTAAGACAAGAGATGAGAGTGCAAAGTGTCAAGGAATAGATTTCTACTGCGACTTTCTAGGTAGCAAGTAGTAGGTAAAGTGAGAGGTGAAGTAAGGTGGAAAGTGTGTAAGGTCATGTCCCATGGTATGTACTGCTGGCGCTTATATACGGTACCTAAGCGCTGTCATGCGGAGCCGAAGCACTACCGAGTAAAGTCTAATATGTAAAGATATATATAAGTAAGGGTCCATGATAAAAATAAAGGTGGAATGATATGTAAATAAGGGAAACAGAAATACATGCACTAGAGAGCTTGGTGGACAGTGGATGGATGCTTCTGGATGGCTGGTGCTATAGGGCGATCAAGCACGGGAAAGCGCGCGCGCATATACATCGTGAAGCACGGGAAAGCTGCACCTCATATAGGGATAGCTGCAGACAGCACACAGAGTGGTGCTGCAAGTTCGTGCAATGTACTCCTTAGTGAAAACTGCCATATCAGACCATGAGAGGCATGAGTCTCTGCACCAAGTATACTTGGGCCTTTCAGCTTGCAAAGACCAAGATTTGTGGAGCGTCTCTAGGGCAGGTATCACAAGATGGAGAGTTAATCCTCGATCAGATGAGAAAGCTTGCTGGGCAACATCGGCATATGAAAGAAGGTCCGTGAATTGACCAACTCGTGTCCATTCAGCAGCTGACAGTTGCAGAAAGTTGATTTTGGCCCATTTTTTGAGACTGCATTCTTGATGCCCCATTTCATACACAAATGTATCCACATGCTACAGTGAGTAAGAGTGAGAATAAACAAAGTATGACAATATATCAAATACACACCTGCTTGTTCAATTTGGTGCAATTCAGCATAACATAGGTAGATGACCAACAGACTTTCATGTCAATCAATAGCTGTGTCGGCAAAGACACATTGGCTTTTATCTGAATGTTCCTGTATAATTCTTTTCATTTTGCCGATGAATGTTCTTTAACACAGATGCTGCGAACAAGGCCAATTTTGTCCCGATCAACCTTATGAGACATGTCTGGTTTGTGGCCGTGAGGATCATGAGGATTGTAGTGAAGAGATTTGCTGTATGTGCCAATGAGCTGCTGCATGCCAAGATTGATAACATGCACTAAACAGCTGTTGATATTGTTAGCAGTTCCATCAATGAAATAACAAAACAAACTTACTTGATATTGCGCTCGAGCCATGGAAAAACCTTCTTATGCTTCACCTCATATAACTGTGCAAACTCTTGCAGCATAGTGTTGTTGTTGGCTGTGTTGTCACATGTAACATGACCAATCTAGTAAGTAGACATAAGCTGTAGTGTTTGAGAGGCACATATTACAGTGACCTATCTCCGTATAATATGAGGGAACAGACGTGCATAATATCCCATATGATATGGGCCAGCGGACCATGGGCCCATGATAAAAATATCCTCGACTATGACAGATGGGCCGGGAGGCAAATTATTCCCAATGGAGGCGGGTGGGCCCATGCAGGGAATATATAGAGTAGATGAGTGGGCCGATGTACATGAATATTAGGTAGACAGGTGGGCCGAGGTAGTTGGATATTATGCAGATGGGTGTATTAAGGTAGATGTGTATGAGATAGATGGGTAGGTACTTGTTATCACATTCACGGGTGGGCCCAGACACATATTAAATTAGACGGGTGGGCCAAGGGTATTATAAAATATTGTATTAGATGGGTGGGCTGAGGATGTTGTATGGGATGTTGTATTAGATGGGTGGGCCGAGGGTGGTATAAAATATATGTAGATGGGTGGGCCCATGTGTATCATAATTGTAGACATGATGGAGCTGAGGTAGTTGTACATCAACCAAATCAGAGGAGGTAATAAATCAAAGTTACCAAGTTCCCGGAGCAGCAGGTGATCTCCTGACATGGCCTTTGATGGTGCACAGATTGTCTTGCAAATTTTGGAATCCGGGGTGCGAAGCTTGTGTTGCCCTATGAGAAGCCAAGTTCCGATTACCAACCTTTGGGTCAACCGTACTCAGAGGAGGTAATAAATTAAAGTTATTGAGTTCCTGGAGCAGCAGGTGATCTCCTGACATGGCCTTTGATGGTGCACAGGTTCTATTGCAGAATTTGGAATCCAGGGTGTGAAGCTTGTGTTGCCCTACAAGACACCAAGTTCTGACCACCCAAATTTGGGTCAACCATACCGACTTCCGAGTTCTGGGACCTGGGAGTCAACAAATGAATATCTGATAACCAGCACACTTCCAATCAGGTAGTATTTCATTGAGCAATGGATCATCCAAGGGGTCCCTTATCAGACTCGGTAGTCAATATAGGCAAATGATAATGAAAACATGAAAGTTGTTATTATGCTATTTTTCAAACCCAAGACCCTGAAACCCATTGTTCAACATGTCCATTTTTCACCCACTGCACAAATCACTGAGTTTCGAGTGCTGAAACCCAAAACTCAAAACCCAGTGTGCAACACGTCGATTGTTTATTTACATTACACAGATCATCGAGTTCCGAGTGCTGAGTGCTGAAACCCGAAGCCCAAAACCCAAAAATATGTATGGAACATGTCCATTTCTTACTCATTGCACATCTCACTGAGTTTCGAGTGCCGAAACCCGAAACTCGAAACCCAGTGTGCATCATGTCCATTGTTCAATTATATTACACAAGTCATCAAGTTCTGAGAGCTGAGAGCCGAAATCTGAACCCCGAACCCCAAAAATGTTTACACAACATGTCCATTTTTCACTCACTGCACAAATCACTGAGTTTTGAGTGCCAAAGCATGAAACTGGAAACCCGGTGTGCAACATGTTGATTTTTCATTTATATCACACAAATCATTGAGTTCCAAGTGCCGAGGGCCGAGACCCGAAAATATGTATGCAACATTTCCATTTTTCACCCACTGCACAAATCACCGAGTGTTGAGTGCTGAAACCTGAAAATTGAAACCCAGCATGCAACATGTTGATTTTTCATTTATATTACACAGATAATCGAGTTCCGAGTGCCAAGGGCCGAAGCCCGAAGCCTGAGACCCGAAAATATGTATGCAACATTTCCATTTTTCACTTGTTGCACAAATCACTGAGTTTCAAGTGCTGAAACCTGAAACTCAAAACCGGGTGTGCAACATGTCCATTGTTCAATTATATTACACACAAATCATTGAGTTCCGAGTGCCGAGGGCCGAACCCTGAACCCCGAGACCCCAAAATATGTGCGCAACATGTCCATTTTTCACTTGTTGCACAAATCACCAAGTTTTGAGTGCTGAAACCTGAAACTCAAAACCTGGCATGCAACATGTCCATTTTTCATTTATATTACACAAATCATCAAGTTCTGAGTGCTGAGACCCGAGACCCAAACCCCGAGACCTCAAAATATGTATGCAACATTTCCATTTTTCACTTGTTGCACAAATCACCAAGTTTTGAGTGCTGAAACCTGAAACTCAAAACCTGGCATGCAACATGTCCATTTTTCATTTATATTACACAAATCATCAAGTTCTGAGTGCCAAGACCCAAGACCCGAACCCCAAGACCTGAAAATATGTATGCAACATTTCCATTTTTCACTTGTTGCACAAATCACCGAGTTTCAAGTGCCGAAACCTGAAACTCAAAACCGGGTGTGCAACATGTCCATTGTTCAATTATACGAGCTCACGCCCGTTGTGCCTTCAGCACAAATCGAAGGAGCACTATGTTGTAGCAGTAGCTCAGTGGACGTGCGAAGTCAACTAACATGTATTGGTATGTACCTGTTGTAGCAGTAGCTACAGGTAGTGTCAGTAAGTAGGAACTATGTACAAAGGTAGTACTAACCTCAGTGGACATGTGAAGTCAACTGAGGAAGGTTATGAGGCGCGGTGAAGGTACAACAATTCAGATGGTGAGTCTGAACAATGTTGGGTCTTGCAGAACCTAGCTGCTATTCGACCCTAAAGGGTTTCTGGACCAGACTCAAGGCTCAGAGGAGAGGAAATATCATAGAAAACTACTGAGCACTCAGACTCATACTGGTAACTGGTGAAAAGATTGCTTGATTATGTAAGCTACAAAAGTGCCAACATAAGGTAAGGTAAAACAGTCTCTACAAGCCCAACCAGAAATGAATCCCTACAGCGGGAACAAATGGTATTTGTAGGTAGGTAGATATGAAACGGTACCAACTGTCCATAGATAGTGAGGATTGATATAACGACACTCCCCCTCAAGCCGAGCGCAGGCCGAGGGCGGAGGCAAAATGTTTGACCTTTAAGCTGGGGAGAGGCTTTGTAAGGGTATCAGCAGTCATAACGTCCGTAGGGCAATAAACTAAAAGAATTGAGCCTTTCTCAACAGAAAAATGAATGAAATGATACCTAATGTCGATATGTTTTGTCTGGGCGTGAAATGCCCCGGACTTCACGAGTGCAATGGAGGGTGATGGGATGGGTTATCGGCCGGAATACTTCACTGATGAAGTGATGCAACCAAACTGCCTCTTTCGTGGCATGCATAGCCGCAACATATTCAGCTTCAGTCATTGACAAAGTTACTAACTCCTGCTTTTTGGAACTCCAGGACACTGCGCCGCCGTCCATGAGGAACGTGTAACCAGACACAGCGTGCCGGTGTTCCTGTGACGCGCCGTCAGCATCAGTGTAACCTTCAAGGCCTTGTTTCTTGGTGCCGAAGGTGAGTGCGAGGGCTTTGGTGCCGATAAGGTAACAATAAATCTTCTTGATGGCCTCCCAGTGGTGCATGCCTGGGTTGGCACCAAACTGAGCGACCGTGGAGACTGCGAATGCGATGTCGGGACATGTGCCAACTGCGAGGTGCATGAGCGAGCCAATGGCTTTGCAATAGGGTACATTTTTCATCTGCGCAGACTTGGCTGGGGATTTCGGGGATTGTGAGTGCGAGAGTGGGAGATTAGGGTCCATGGGCACAGAGCTGGGCTTCATGTCCATGAAGTTGTACTTCGTAAGGATGGCGTTGACATATGTTTCGTGTGAGAAGGAGATGGTGCACACGACTCGGTCGCACATTACCTTCATGCCGAGGAGCGAAGCGATGGGACCGAGATCCGTTAGTTTGTAGCACGAGGCTATGTCCCATTTGAACTCTGCAATGAGTTTGTCGTTGTTACCGGTCACTGTGCAGTCATCGACGTGTGACGCAAGGATTAGAATGTCCGCGCTGATGTGTTTATAGAAAACTCCCCAGTCAGACTCTGCGCGCGTCATCCCCAAACTCTTCATCAACCTACACAGCTCTTGGTACCACTTCAACGCCCCCTGCTTTGACCCATAAAGTGCGACACGCAACAGCGCGACAGGGCACTTGAACTTCTTATCGACATTTAAACCAGGTGGGAGCTCCATATAGATGATTTCGTCCTCGTCCAGCTTACCATTGAGGAAGGCACTGTGGAAGTCGAAGACGTCGATATTCCAGTCGTTTCGTGCGGCGATGGCGAGGATGGTACGGAGAGATGTGAGGCATGCGACAGGTGCGTAAGTGTCATAATAGTCTACGCCGTATACCTGGGAATAACCTTTAGCCACTAGCCGGGCTTTGTACTTGTCGATTTCCCCGTCCACATTCCGCTTGATCCGGAACACCCACTTGCACCCTACTATATTTGCACCTTCTGGCTTCTCGACGATGGACCAAGTCCGTGTGTCTTCTAGAGAGGTGAGTTCTTTATTAATGGCGTCCTCCCACTTAGGCCAATCAACTCTGTTGCAGGCTTCTTTCACCGTCGTTGGGTCGCTGCTCTCTATTACCACGACACCTGCCATCATGGCAAAGACTTCTTCATCATCTTCGTCAATCTCTCCATTCTCCCCCACCAGTCCGAGCATGGCCACCAAGTTTGATACTTCTGGGGTGGGTTGCATCCCACGAGGTAAGTCATTACTGCGTCCATCTGTGGTGCCTGTGCCGTCGTGCAGGCTCTTAATATACGCTGATTCAACCCTTACCTGTCCAGATCTACGCGGCAATGGCGCAGCTTCAAATTGTGGGCCTAGGTGGTCGATGGAAGGAGCTGGATTGGAGTTTGAGGGTTTTGGTTTATCGGTGAGTGTTGAACCGACATCATCGATTCGTACCGTGCAGTCTGCTGGTATCTCACTTCCTTCTATAGGCACTACCACCTCTGCTGTGTTGAATACGACACTTCTTTCGATGGCGACTCGTCGGGACTCAGGGAGATAGATGCGATGGCCATTGCTATCGTGGTCGAATC